GTTTTACCGACTTGACAACCGTACGTCGCTTTCGTCGACTGAAAAATATATCAATTTAAGCTAGTTCAAATTTTTTTTTTCAAAATAAAAATTATTATTTAAGCTTTAATTTAAGGTATATATATAATTTTTCTCATAAAAAAATTGTATTGATCTAAAATTTTTCATTCAGTTTTTGCCATAAGTTAAAAATGTAAAATATAAAATCGAGAATTTTCACACAAAAAAACCATTCGATAACTATTTTCAACGTGAAGACAAAATAAAGTCCGAAATTTTCTTTTTTCGTGTTAAAATATATTACATTACCTTTATATTTAAAATATATATAAAAGTGTCAGTCTTTCCGGAACATTCTCAAAAGTTAAGTTGAAAAAGTTAATTTTTGGTGAAAAAGTTGCCATTTTGAAACCCGTTCCTGTGGGCAAATGTTCACAAAAATATATCAAAAGATAGGTAACTACCTAAGGTATCTATAAAAAAAAATTAATATAATTTGGACAATTTAAAAAAAGTTATGGCAGTTTTAAGTAAAAAAAATGAAAATATGTTAAAATTTAGCGATTTTTAAGTTTGTAATTTGTTGGGAGATTTCCCCCATTTATGGGGAACGAGAGATTTTTTTTCAATTTTTGAGGATAATGTCTTTGATTAGATACGATTTGTGATCTTTTGACGTATTGTTCATCAAAATCGGTCCAGCGAGAACTGAGATTCAGCGTTCACAGACACAAAAAAATAAAATAAAAAACACATCATAGTAAAATTAATACCTTCTCAACTTCGCATCGACGCTAATGATTTGTAATAATACTATTTCTAATTTAACTTATTATAGTTACATATACCCATTTTTTAGTTTTTTAATTAGAAGATCAATTTTATTAATTTGAAATAATAGTCTTGTAATTTCTAAACTAAGTATTTTTGGGTTAATTTATTTAGAATTATACAAATTTATTACTCATATCTGTTTCAGAAGTCTTGATAATAAACCTGACAATTTTTCTATAGAGAAGAATTGTACTATATTACTTTGACTCATTTCTTTCTTCTCCTCCACAAAAAAATATAGATTAATTGTGAAACCACAAATGAGTTTATGAGGAATTCAGAGGCCAAATTACGTCTACGTATAATATTTTATTGAAATTTATATANACGAATCAGGTTTGATATGATAATTTTAAATGATAGGTTTCAACTACAAAATTATATCATTTTACTTTGTAATTTAATAATTTTTTTACTGTATTTGTGTGTGCTACTACTAGACTATAATATTCCAAATTATTTTTGGTACCATATATAAATCATTTCTAAAAAAAATTTGTCAGTTTCTCCTGAATTAACAATGGATTTTTACAATTACAATTAAATTTTATAATACGCTCAATTGAGTAAATCTTTTTAACAACTTTGTTTTGATTGGTTCATTTAGTTAAAGCAAATCATTAAAATTAATTAAGTTCTGAATATTTCAATTGTAGAATCTTTTTAAACACCAAAAGTTACTAGGTAATGATTGATTACAATTATTTCTATTTCAGTTATCTATTACGATAAAAATGCAAAAAAATATTGAGCTACCCTGATTATATTGAATTACAGTAGAACTCCAATTATCCGAATTAATGGGGACCGGGACCCATTCACTGACTAATCAAAATAAACAATGACAGGTGACTGCAATGCGCCGGAACTGGAGTGGGAACTCTTACCACGTGTTGTGCCTACACTGACGCCGCGGACTTTGGACAAATTTTTTTCTGATTTTTTCTGAAAGTGATTCGGATAATCGGCGATTCGGATGGTCGGAGTTCGGATAATTGGAGTTCTACTGTATTCTAATAGTGCTGGATTACCTTCTATATGAAGATATAATGTAATTTCCATAAAAATTATATTCTAACTGTAATGTCACTCAACCGGGCGTTTGACATTAACATGACGTCCCTACAAAATCAACAGACTTATATTTCAACATTACAAGTTGCCCCGAGACTATTGTACATTTTTGTTTCATAAATATGTTCTTTAAAATGCTTAATGATTTAAAATCTTTTTAAATAGTTATTAATACAGCTGTTTTATATATGAACTATGATTTTTATAAATATATAAAAAAAAAAAGTATATATTGAAATCATTATTGGATTCAGGGACTTTAATAATATAAATTTGATATAATATCTTAAGAATGATAATAATCGAAAGGAAATCAC